GCAATGAGCGGGGCAATATTGATTAAATAATAGACAATTTAATTTATAGATTTTTGAAACAAGTATTTTAAAAGTTGGTTTCCATTTTGACAATTAGATTTCAAGTTTTAGTATTTTTGCAAATTTTGACACTTTGCTTATTTTATTTAGTATTGACACTTGGATATGAGCAAATTATTCAAATGACGTTTCCGCATTTATTTCTAATATACTATAGTTGAGAAAAAAATATTTATGCATTTTGGCGTTTATTTAGAATACTTATTTACAGGATATTTCGACTTAAGTAGCGCACTGTGTTTATTGAAAATTGGGGCGTTACATAATATAATTGTTTTTTTATTTTTTTGAAAAATGGTAAATTTACAATGTTTCCTTTTTATAGTTGGTTAAAATTAGTTAAACTTTAAGGGTACATTTGATTGCGAACATGAAATTTATATGAGAAAAAATAAATTTAAAAAAATTCAATTGTCTAAAACTTATTTGCATGAAAATTATTAATTAAATGTGTAATTGATTTAGTTTTCAACCTATAAAATATTATACTTGTCCATTTTTATTGGTAGAGATATGAGAGAAAAGGAATAGATGAGAGAGACAGAGAAAGAGATAGTGCATTACATGGAAAATAAAAATCACATTTCCCTAAAAAAATATTTTACTTCTTTTCAAAGAAAATATGGTCACGTAATCAAAAGTAAGAAATTATTTTCCGTGGAAAAAAGTGTCAATCAAAATAGAAAATTATGTGGAAAATATTGACAATCAAACGCACCCTAATTCTCTAGTCAACTAACGGTCAAACCAACTGTTTCCATTCGTTTGGACTCCAGGTCCAGATTTTTGAAAGGTTTGATACCGTTATTGCAATTTTCCCTAGAAGAAATCGTTGATTCAATTACCTCATCACGTCAAGCTCCTTTCAAAGCTAGATTTGATACAATAAATTAAAAATTACTCCTAATTGATTTAAGTTAAACAACATTGCATTTTTAATTCGAAATTATTCTTAATTGATTCAAGATCAACAACATTGCTTGTTCGATTCATTTCAGCTTTTACATCAAACTTAATTTTGCATTTCATTGTCCAAATAAACCAATTTGAGTAAAATAATAACAAATTTTATTTTTTTACGTAATGAACTATTTCACTAAAATTTTGACCTTAAAAGATTATGTTGAGGTGTCAAAGTTTTAATGATAGAAAAGCCAAGTCGAGACAGTAAATTTGAACTAAAAAATTTATGGGTAAAATTGCATCATAGGTCCTCAACCTATTGTCCTTAGCAAATTGATCCACAATCATAATAAGTAAGTTGAACCCTAAGACAGTTGCCCTACTTTCTTGTTGCAAAATCAAATTTCAACAGTCCATTTATGCTTCTATAGTTGAAGACTAATTGTTTTGAACATTACTATTAGAAATGAAATTTAGACACCGATTCAAGTTCTTCCCTTTTGAATTAGACAGATTCATAACTGTAGTTGAAATAACTAAATTATAGCAATTTACTTACGATACTTAGGTGACCTTTCCATTTTCCTAAACATTAAATAGATATTATTTTTTCTTTTTGAACTCAAAGCATGAACTATTTGACAATAAATGAACTAAAATAGTAGGCAATAGAAAACATTGGGGAAGAAACAGCTAAATACACTAGCTTGGGGCCCTTGAAGGGAGTAAAGTAACAAGAACCACAACGAACATATGATACTATAACTACAATACCGAATAAAATGATTGCATTATCCGCCAGACTAAGTTCATATTCATCCACACTAGAAATATATATTTTTTGGATACAATCTTACATGTCCATGTTGGAAACAAGAAGAATACAAACCACCCTGAAATTATTGGCAAACATTTACTCTTCAAGGTCCAACTGAAGATTTCATAAGACACTTCAAGAAACATAAAACAAACCATTAATATTTACAAATTTTATGGTTCTCAAAGGCCAATGTTGCTGCCATCACCCAGGTACATAATAATCCATCTTGTCCACAGGCAGATTCAGAACTGATGTTTCAACCTATACCGTAGAGAGAAAAGAAAGAACAATAAGGACGTGTTTCTTACACAGTATTTGGCACTACAATGAACAAGATTAAAACTTCTTTTTCTTTCTTAGAGCTTGCTTCACTATAAGCAACTTTTTTCCAAGCAAAAGGAAGAACATTAAGGATGTGCTTGGTACACAGTATTCAACAATACAATGAATAAGATTACAACTTTTATCCTTAAAGCTTGCTTTGCTGAAAGCAACTTTTTTCGAGCAAAAAGAACATTAAAAACATGTTTGAAACACAATATTCGATACTACAATAAACAAGATTATAACTTATTTTTCTTTCTTAGAGCTTGCTTTGCTATATGTAACTTTTTCAAGATTTTTAGTTCAAAAACTTACTTATCAGAAAAGTACAGTGTTCTTTCAAGTTGAATAATACTGTTCAATCCACCGTACTAAAAAAGCTATAAGATGAAATGCATAGGGGTAGCACAAGGATCCTTATATTTCAACTACAAGTCAACTTGGAATTCCATAACCATTCCTTCGAACCCCACCCAAAAATAAAGAGGGAAAATATGAATTCCAACAAGGCTATTGCACACATAATGCAAATTGTTTGTTTACTTGATGAAAGTGCATGCTGGATCTGTTAATGCATTTGTAATCATGCACAAGCAATCTTTTACACATCAATCAGTAAAAAAAAGAATGAAGGTGTGTGAGAACGTGTAGACCAAAAAATGGCACCTTTCCCTCTCAGGTATAGAGAGAGAGGGAGGGAGGGAGAATAAAGAGCTGTAAATAGCTTGATGTGTGTCCATATACAAAAGTGAAATTAACTCACGTAAATATACCTATACCCCAATGAGAATATGAAATATAGAAAAAATGGCATATAAAGTAACAGCAAGAAGAATTAAGCGATAGGGAGAACCAAATAAAAACAACTTTATTCAACATTGGCCAAGCCAAAATTCAAGTTATTCAGAAGAAACTGCTGTAGAAAAGACTGGATAGCCACACAAACAGAGAGAGACACGGAGAGAGAGAAGTGTTGATTATTTTTTATGTCAAACTAAAATCAATTGGAAAAAAAAAGAGACATACGTACTTCATCGAATGGAACGAAGACAAAAGGTGTAAGACCCTTCTTGTGCGAAACTGCCGGAACATCAGGGTTATGCGTTTCATCCTCTTGCCACCCTTCAACTAGTCCAAGAATGTCTTCGTCTGGGCTGCTAACCTCATTATCGTTCACACCACTAGTAACAAGTGAAAGCAGGTCCATTCTGTTATTAGCCCCAGCTGTTGTCCCCCTCAATCTAGAGTAAACAGAAGAACATGAAATTTTGTTTGGGGTAGATATAGGTAGATAACGCATGGTAATATAATTGAAAATAACAAAAACTAAGTAATTCTAAATTAAAAATTCAAATATCATTCCATGGAGTTTTGTGTCCTTCATTTGATATATGAGACTTCGAGGAGCTACTGAACCCCAGAAGTTTGTGGTCGTTCTTCTAAAACTCGAGTAATCACAATGTAACACCAGTGTTGCACAACTAGATTAAACACAAAAAGACAGATTTGACAGAAAAGCGTGGGAGAGAGGAACATTCAAAGAGAAGACTTCAAATTCGATAATCATCTACAAAGGCCTTCTAACCCAAGCTAAACAGGTCTGAAACAAGTTAATCCAGGAATGACAGACACACACCCCGCACCAACTAAAGATAACTATGAAATTCAAATTGCTCCAAGTCAAACGCTTCTATTCACGTCCTCTTCTCTTCCTGGTTTGGATAGCCACATCCAAGCCACCCTTGGCTCGTAAATGCCCTTTTTTTAGGTGAGTTAGGTCTAACCAATTTCTATATATATATATATATATCTATTTTTTTNTTTTTCTTTTTTGATAACCGTGGATGTTCGGGACAGCTTGCGCGCACCTCGACTAATTCCACAGGGCATGAAATTTTACGGCCGGATACTCACCTCAATGGTCCTGAGGAGATTTGAACTGGTGACCATTGGGGAGCAAACCCAAGGCTATATATATATATAAATTTTTATTTTTTTTATTTTTATTTTTTTCCTTATTAAAAAACTAGAGGCTTGCCCGAGCCGCCTGGCACAGCCCGGTTCAAGGGATGGGCAGCATGAATTGGGCTTTTGGCATAAGCTGCCCTCTACTAAGAACACTCTCCTTGATTACTAGAGACCTTTGTTTTCACTCCAAGGTCATGAAACACCTTCAAGAACTAAAGAACCTTACTTTTCCCCAGTCTGTCAGAATTTTATGGAACCCACTTTCAATAATTTATGCTCTCAAATCCTATGGCAGTAGTCAGCATAGCAAATGCCACTGTGCAATAGGCACCTAATAGCACCAATGCATAATAAGAAAAATCAAAAGTCAATAGCTGTTTAGACATTTAGCTCCTGTTTGGTTTCAATAAAAAACAGATTTTTAGTAGATTTTGATAAAAGTTGATGAAATGTAAGGTTAAAAAGTTGATAAAAGTCGTGGATCCCATGAAATATGTGGTTGAAAATGAGTATGATGAAAAATGAATTTTAAAAAATGTGGGCAACCATGGGCTTAATTAGTGACCCATATGCTTTTAGGGGAAAAAAGCATACTCCAAATTTGCGATTGATTTAAGCTTGAAAAGAAAAAATCCAAAATCCATAAAAACGTGGGTTTGGCATGAAAATAATCAAAAGAAGTGAATGCCGAAAACACGGTATTATTGATTACCTCAAGCGGATCCTCCAAACAGTAGGACGCAAGCCAGGATACAAAAGAGCAGCTTCAACCTGTAATTGATTGATAATTATATTTCTAGATCTGAGAGATATGAAATGAGAATTAAATGAAAGTTCAATAAGCATATCTACATATTATACAATAAATAAACCACGTGAATATTTCCAAAAAAGACAAACAGAAGGGAACCTTGTCTTCAGAAAGTGTGTAACGGCCACTAAACACACAATCAACTTTTGAGGTGCGAAAGTGCATCAATTTTGCCACGTCTTTCACTTTTTGTGATGAATTCTATCCACATTGGCAAAAGGAAATGAAGACTATCATGGTTAGATATTGCTAAGAAAGGCAATTTTAAATTGTTATATATGCAAAAAATCAGTCAAGCATTATGACCTTGTACAGAAACCTGCCAGAAGGATAAAACCTCAAATACCGGAAATAGCAAACCTGCAATACAATGAAGAATTATCTTAATCGTTACCAAACCATGCATCAAGAGTCAGTAAACAGACTAACATCTTGGATTTAACAAACTTCAATTGCTACAAGAGAATAAAAAAATCAAAGAACCAGGACAGTTTTCTTCCAATAAAGTTAAAATAGACAGCACAAATAAAATTTCATGCTGTCCAAAGAATTAACAAATATAACCTATAAATTCATAGAAAAAGTACTCCATATATTCTTCCAGCTCTGTCAAAAAGTTACTATTTTCCAACATTGTAGCCTCTCTCTTTCTGAGGTATACAATATCTGAATATTATCTAGCACTACCAGAAAGGATTTGACATACAACTTCTTCTGTGCAGCAGAAACCGAATGAGGAAAATAACACAACTGATGTTAAAAAATACATACAATATGGACTGGATTAGTGATCTTCCACTCCGCAACCCCAGCACGAATATAGGTGTTCCGACTGACATAGATACCTACAAAATTGATAATAATCAGTCACAAGAACTTGCATGTGAGCCTAGAACCTAAATGACAATTTATTATAAATATGCTGCAAAAGTTTATGGCAGATCCCTTATAACTATACAGTTTTATTGTAACTGAAAAATCACTCCAGATCAAAAAGTCGTTAGGGCATGATGCAGCTACGACATCCACTATTCTTATCAACATCCACATGATAGTAGCATTATGCTCTTTTTTCACTGATCAAGTATATGTCTAGGGGGTTGATGAGTTTTAGCATGCGGGATACCTTCACAATAAATTTCAAGAAGCTTATGCTAAAGATAGTATGTCTTGGCGCATTTTCATGTCCATAGAATGGAGCAGGTAGAGACAGATTAGAGGCTGAGAACTTGAGCTTTTGCAGAACTTAAAATTACATCAATATTTATGTATGTTACAAGAAGAAAGTTTCATAAGTATATTTTCATTCACAATTTTACAGTTGCCTTCAACTTAACTATAGGATGATGAGGAAGATCAAATCTACAATTTTAGTCAGTAACATGACAAATGGTTAACAGATTAGAATTAAGAGTTATGAACTCCACTTAAATTGATAATTGGCATCACTATATTTCCATGTAAGAGAAAATTGGAAAGTTCCATAAATATGAAGGAAAAAAGGCATCAGGTCTAACAACTTGCCTTTTTACATTTAGGACAAGCATGCCTGGCAGACCACAATCCAAGGTTTCGCAAATATTATTAGACCCCTTATTAAATATTGGGGTAACGTAAAATAAGAGAAACAATAGAAGAATCTCAAAAATGTAGGAATAGAGTCCCTATAGTTCTATAGCATTGAGCAACGTGGACATAAAGGAAATATTATGAGACAAGGACCAAGGTCAACAACTATAGGCATATAGCTATCTAAGGTTGATATATCATATTGATTAGGGTTGGGCAAAATGTCCGAACCGAACTGAACCGAACCGGAACCGAACCGAGCGGGTTTTCTTAACGTAAAAACCCGAAGAACCGAAAAATTTTGGTTCGGTTCT